ATAATACAACAATGTAAATTACAGACTGAAAATCACAGTTATATTAAAATGAATTTAAAACCACTATGTAAAGACTATGATCATCAAATTACCTTTTTGTTTTCATTTTTAGAAAAATTAGAAGATATTGGTAAAAATGAGTGCAGCCAATGTAATATCCTGAGCCCATTATCTCAAGCCCTTTTCAGACATGGCACCCATGAATCTGCAGGTTATATGTAGACACGTAACAGTTGCTTTTTTGCCATTTAGACAGAGACACTGCAACACAATTTGCCATTTATCTGCAGTAATTTCTTCCCCTGCAGTCCTCTGACTATCATGTCGGACTAATTTCTAGTCATTCTCCGTCAGCTCAAGCTGCTACAAATTATCGACCAAATTCCTGGCTAGCAGTGCATGTATGAAAGGGGAGTCAATGTTCCCAGGTCAGATTTATGGCATGCGTGTATTGCTGTCTTTTTTGTTTGATACTAACACCGAGGGACGTCAAAGTCAGGAATTTTGAAGTCCTGCAGATCAGTTTAACTTAGAAAGGCAAAGAAATGACATACAGTAATAAAAATATTATGCAATCATACTTACAAACTTCTCTGGACATGGAAAGTCAAACAGCTTTACCATTCCAAAGTCATCGCCTATAACAATGTTAAGGCCTGAGTGGGACACACAGGCACAGGTGACGTCTGCTTTGTCAGTGTTACGGGACCAGATCCCTATGACCTCGTCACCAAGGACACTGGATACAGAGAGAGAAAGACAACCCCCCCCCCAAAATAAAAAACAGCTCAGACACTAAAATTCACCATTATCTTTCCACCATATGTATTGATACCAAGACTCACCTTGTCCAGGTGGCCCAGGTAATCTTGTCAATATGGGACTGATCTGTGATATGCTTCCCAGATGGCACCTCGTACACAAGTCGTTTATAAGCACCTGTGGATACCTGATTCAAGAGAGTAAGGGGTTAGGCACCATACTATACCTCCAGGCTATGTGAGAGACAAACGTGTCCTGTCACTGCATAGTGACAATCTA